TTTTATTTGACTACGTCGAGGAACTGGACCGGCAAGTAAGTACGCGATCTGGAAAAAGCGTTCGCTACTCACGCCCGGGATCGCCCAGAAAGTACGTACGTTACGTTTCTTCTTAAACGTATTAGATAGTAAATTGCGGGAGCTCGGCGCCTGCGAGACTCCGAGTAGGCAGCCCCGCCGTACACGCGTGCACTGCAGTCGAGATGTTGCCTACCTACGAGGCGCTATGAGAACTTTCACAAGGGCTGAACTTGGCAATTTCGCAAACGGCGAATGACGGACGTACTTTCCGGCTGATCCCCTACGCTACGCACGCGCCCAATAACATGGAGCGATCCCTCCGCTGACCTGGATGGAGGGCGCGTTGCTGGACGGCCGGTGCGCCCCGGGCCCCGGGGGCCCAAGGGGGCCCGAAGGGCGCGCCCCAACGAGCAGCAGGTAGTCTATGAGGCGCGGGCAGAGCCATTTCTTCTGGATGTCCATGGACCGCCTCACGCAGCCTTACGCTCGCCTGAAAAAAGAAACAATTTTTTATTTTAATTTTTTCTCGTTTTAAGATTACTATTTGTTTTTTTATTACTTCTGGGTGGGACATAAAAGTTGGCAGCAAGGAACGGGGTATCAAGTACTGTATCTTGGACCACGTACCAAGTTTAACAAGTGGCACGCCGAAACGAGAGCCTAGGGAGACTTTGGGAGAGGGGCGAAGGGCGTGACCCCTAGGAGGAAATATCAAAGCTGTTGGCTGCGAATGAGGTTTTTCCATATATGAGGGGGGGGAGGTAAGGGGGGCCATGCGGTCTTGGACACCCCGGAGGGGGTGCCTTGTAGCACCCCCAGTGGCAGGGGGCACCCTGGTGAGCCAGGGCCCCCACAAGCTGGCGCGGACAAGTGGCCACTCTAGCCGCGCTCCGACATCGATCCGAACACTAAAGCCTCTGTGCCCCCCCGCGCGCAGCCCGCCCTCCCCTCGGGCCGCCCAGCCCCACCCCCTACCGCGGCCCCGTGGCGCCCCACCGTCTAGCGAGGCGGCGGGGCGTGGCCGCCATAGGCATGGCCGTGCCGCGCGAAGGGGAGGGCTGACCCAAATTGTACAACCCCCCCTACCCCTACCCCCCTCACCTCCCCCTTTTCCATCTGCCCTCTGGGTTCCGGGAGGAAAGTTATCGCCACGATAATCGAGTCCAGCAAGTCCGCTTCTCCTCCTCCTCCTCCGAGAAGCGCCGGTATAGCCTTCCCTGCTGGACTGCGGCCGTGGAAGCGACATAGGAGCGAGCGTCAGCAGCACGAGTATCTGGACGCAGCGCATGACACGCCGGACACCGGAGAACGTGGCTGTCGAAACCAAAACCGACTCAGCGGCGAGTAGCTGGGCAGGCCGACGCCCCCGGCAGTCGGCAGTCCGCGCAGCTAGAGAGACAAGTGTTCTCAAATTTTAAATGTTGCCAATGTTGTAGAAAACACGAAAAAAAGCTGAGATCGCGTTTTCATGGCTGTACTCCAGCTAACTAAGGAGGAAGAACAGAGGGTTGAACATTAAGGTTTCTGATTGGTCGAGAGCTTCCCGCCTCCACGTCACACTGGTTGTGGGGGTAGGCTCGACTAATCAGGAACCTACCCACTATTCTTCATTCTTTGTTACAACTGGAAGCACATTATATGGGTGATATTCGTATCGCATTTTAACAGAGGGTGTGAAATAATAGCTTTGAAATGTTCTAGCCTCTTTGACTTTGTCTCCTTGTTCTCATTAGTGAACCTTGTTTCGATGGCTCATTACAATATTTTAATTACGGCAGAGTCCCTCTAGAATGAGTCAAACGCACGCCTTTCCTCTCGACCCAACTCACCACCCCGTAAAGGACACGAAAGAAAATGGAGCAGCAACGACATAGCCGCCTCGCCGTCACTTTAGTAGAGGACAAATAGAAAATAAGAGAACAGTAACCTCGTTTACGCCAAGCGAAGGTCGCTTCAGCCCGGAGGGAAAACAACACGAAACTTCATCCAACTCGGGCCAAAGTGATTGGGTAGGACAGGTGCGTCCCAACGATGGTCCCGACATCGACAGCCAGCGCTCCTCCTCCCCCTCCCTCCTCCACCACCCCCACCGCTGGCGCCGCCGGCAGTTGGTCGCTACAACCATGGGCTCCCACTCCGCACTCCGCGCCGCGAGTGCTATCTCGCTTCAGCTTTCGTGTGCCTGCAGACCTGCACCCCCCCCCCCTCCACTCCACCCGTAGTCGCTGCTTTACCTCTGGAGCCCGCGGAGGCCTGGAGCGAAATGTTCACTGAGCCGATATCATCAGCGGCAGTGTTCGGGGGGCGGTGCCGCCTTTCCAAAACGGATATGACACGTGTCCAACGCTGTCAAATGCGGAAGGGCGTCCTGTCGCGGTCGAACGCATCGGGGCCAACGCTCAGCTGGCCGCGCTGCCGCGCTGTCACTACTCGGGCCGCGCAGCACGCCCCCTCCCCTCCCCCTTTCCCCTCTTGCCACCACCCGCACACCACGCACGCCGCCTTCGCTTGTTCCTCACCCGTCGTGCCCGCGCGCCTTTCGGCCATTGGCGCGTTTAAAAAATAAAACAAAACAACGTCGCGACGACTTTTGACACTGCAGCCACCGCGGCAGCAACTTAAAGCAATTAACTCCAAACGGAAATTAATCCTCGCCCATTGAAGGACAGACAAGACATATATCCATATGTGCACTTGTCACTAGTGCAGAACAAATGTTTTTATTTCAACTAAAATCAGTAAAAGGACAAACTGATACCTAGGTAGGTCCATGGTCGATATATTGACTTTTCCATGTGGCTGATTTTAAAAAGAACGCCGTTTAATAACTTAATTACTAACCGCATGCAACCGTGCGGTCGTGTTTGCATGCTCGTTTGTGCATCATGGCCCCCGGGCCGGGAGATATCCAGTTAGCGTTTGCGGGCTGCGGCTGCGTTATGAAATGCGACGAAGTGCAGCCAAAAAAGCGTGTTCTTGAGAGTAAATGTGCTCCGCTGAAGCGAGAACATTGTCTTGTCCCAATGCAAATTGCATTGGTGCAAATGAAAATTGCACTGCCCTGATGCAAATGTTCTTGAGAAATCAGAGGTCAAGAACATGCTTTCCTGGGTGTGAAAGATGCGATGCGTGCGTAGCCTGCATCGCCTACGTCGCCTACCATCCAAGCGCCCTTTTGAAACAGTCAAGTTCAGCCAATGAAAGGTCGCATAGCACCTAGATGGTAGGCAACATCTTGTCTGCCGTGCATGCGTGTACTGCCGGGTGGCCTACCTCGAGTCTCGCAGGCGCCGAGCCCTCGAGTACTTTGCCGAATGCACCCGAGAAATACGGAAGTGCTTTCGCGACGATCTCGATTCGCATCGCATCTTGAAAAACGTATTCCAAAAACACTAACTGGATATCTTCCGGGAGAGTACAATTTATTCACTTTACATGCGAATCCAATGAGGAGGGGGAAATGAGACAAAAAATAGAATGGCACCGTCTCGCTTTTGCCCACCGATAGGTTCCTTATGCTATTTTCTGGTTTTTACTGTTGTCTCATTCTTCCCCTGGCGTGTCTAATTTTTCCCCGAAGTGCATGTAGAGGAAAAGCAGGACGATCTTGTTTCCTACAAACCATAGAGACTGCGTCAGGAAAACTGCGACGTAATTTCGATAATGGGACTGTTTAATCGTCTCAAAGCAAGAAATAATTATCAAATGACTAATTATATGATTGACATCGGCAGCTGATTGGCTCTGAGCAGGGGCGTCGCCTGCTAGTCATCCGTCATCCGCCAAACTAAATCGCAGTGATCGGGTGGTGTGGTGTGGGATGGGAGTGTGACGTGCTGCGCGGCGCCTGCGAGGTAGGCCAGCCTCCCACGCCACGCCACGCCACGCCCACCTCTTGTTTACCTGCGCGCGGCTTGGTCATGCGTGGAAATAAACGAGAAAGTATGCGAGGCGACGCCTGCCGGGGAGATAAATAAATAACCCGCCGTGACCTCCCCGCACGCCTCTTTATTGTCGTGCCTCTTGAGCGTTCCCCCCATCTGGTCATCTGGTCCAGCCAGGAGGGACAAGAACAAGGCTTTGGTCATTTCGCACGAAACGGCCGTCGAGCAAATTCTCAGACTTCGACGTCGTCCCGTCATCGTCGCAAAGTGCTTTTCAGACGTCTCCTGTCTCACAGGCGCTGTTTTATGGGAGGGGACCCCCCCCCCCACCCCCCCGTGTCACCACCCAGGGTAGATAGGCAATTTGTCCTACAAAACCTCTGAAAGTAGGCAACCCACAGACCCCCCCCCCCCCTCAGAAGGACTTAAAACCGCGCCTGCTGTCTCCCGTGTCTACTGACTCACGCTTCCCGGACGTGCTGCTGAGCAAAATGCTCGTGGGGCCAGCAGGGTCATCTCTGGCTGCACCTCGCCGCCTTGTGCCTCTATGATTTCCCGGGAGAGCGTTCGCCGTCGTCCACCAGCGTCTACCGAGCGCCCACCGGCGTCCACTCCCGCGAGAGCTCTCTCTATCCTCCAGAAGGATCCTGGACACGCCTGGACGGTAGGCAGACCCGCGTGCCGCGGCCGCGCCTGCATGCAGTGCAGTGGCAAACTAGTGGGGGGGGGGCGGAAGAGCAATTATCTTATTCGGTCTTCTCGTTCTAGAGCGTGTGTTTGTGGGTGGGGGTCGATCTATTGAATGTTGCGTCACATGCGACATACAATTCCGAATGCCCTCCCCTCTGCGCGTGTGAATCACACGAACGTCGAGCGGGGCCGTCACATCGTCAGCCGTCACGGTGACGTCCCGCCGCCGCCGCCGCAGCGAGTCCTCCGCCGCAGTGTCATCACAGTGGCTGGCGCCTGACGTCACCCCTCCCAGCCCCCACCCCCCGTCCGCTCCTCCTCCTCATCTCCCCCAAGACCCACGCGCGGGCTGCGCGCCTGACGCTGACCTTTCGAGGGTAGTTTGCGGGGGAGACAGCAGACAGTTGTGGGCGTGCGCTGCCGCCAGCGCTGCCGCTGCTGCCCACCGCGGCGGAGGGGAGGACGACGAAAATAGCGACAATTAAAGGATGTTGGGAAACGTAAGTTCGTTGGGGTGCGCGGCAGGCAACATTCGTCCTGCGCTTGTCGCTCTAGGATCCCTTGTTGCCTCACGCTGCTTGTGCAGAACATGTATACGCTCGAAGCGGGTTGCCCCCCCCCCCCCTCTCCCGTTTTACTAACAGGGCGCCGTGATTCACACAGGGCGCTGCTGCCGCGGCGCCCCCTGGCGGGGCAGACAGCAGCAGCGGCAGAGGGCGGACCCGAACCACACAGCACTAGCAACCCTTCCTCTGCCAGCTCCGCTCCACCCCGCCCCGCCCTCCTCCCTCCCACCGCTGCGGACTCTGGAGCACACGCTCGTGTCAGGCACGCCTCCCCTCCCACTCCTTTCTCACACCCCTCACGGAACCCTCTCGTGGCGAACTGGAGTGTGAAATGCGCGTACGGTCAGGGCGGCCCCTCGCGAGGAGCACAGCCGCGCCCTGGAGGCCATGATGGTTAATAATGGCATACTGGCGTGAGGGGGAGGTTAGAGAAGACACGCTTGCTGACCCTCATTAACAAATTACAATTTTTTGAGAAACGTGTGTGATTGATAAGTTGACAAGTGGTATCAGCAAATCCGAACAACGCCTTCTCAACCAACACGACTGGAAAATAACATTGGCCCACCCGTGCCTGGCCTGTCGGCAAAGGTTCGGAGGGGAGGGCGCCCCTCTCGGGCTGCCTGAGGGCGAGGTGGAGGGTTCTGCCTGGCGCAACACGGGGGTCACGGCCCTGGGGCGGGTGGGGGCTCCGCAACTGCTCCGCAAAGGGGGTGCGGGGCTGGAGAGGGAGCACGGCGTCGTGCCCATGGACTCACCTTGCGAGCCTGCGGCCGCCTGCGGGGCTGCTGAGGGGGCTGCGAGGGCTCATGGACGCGCTGAGCCTCAGCTCCTCATGGGCGAAGGGCGGGCGCCTCGTGCTGCCCTCGTGGCGGGCCGCGGGCCTTGCCATGGGCCCCATGCCTCATGGCTGCCCGAGCCTGACTGCGGCCCGCTCTATGGGGCGCAGCCCTGCGGCCCACCGCCCCGCGGCCAGGGGGTGGGCGGGCGCGTCCGGGGCGGGTGCGACCTCTCCCTCACGGACCCCCGCGCGCGGCCGCGCCTCGCTGGGGGTTGAGAAGGACGGCACTACAGGTTGCCCGGAGTCGTCCGCTCCCTCCTCCCTCCCCATACTCCGAACGTACCCCCCCCC